AGGATAAAAATGATCAATACGATTTTCAAGATCGCAAGAATCGTACATATCGGCCATATCGGACTTGGTACTACATCAGAAGGTAGTACATTCGGAGCGGGTATTTTTGACCTTTACAGTGGTCAAACGATTTTCACTGGTTGTGCCGACATAAGTTACTATCTATATAATTTATCATGAGAAATTTAGATACTAATATAAATTTTTTTTTTTTTAGATTGTTGTTGCTGGTGATTGTGAGTCTATGACCAATACCCCAAAAGCAAGATTTGGATATAAATATGGTGATCAAACTCTGGTAGATGGTATTGTTAAAGATGGTTTAACCGATGTATATAATAATTATCTTATTGGTTGGCAGCTGAAGAATGTACCGTTGAGCATAGTATAAGTCGAGAGGAACAAGTATGTTTAATTATTAAAGTTCGTTATACGTCAAATTATTCAATTAAATAAGACATATTAACAGTCACTAGACATATCGATCTTCGATGATTTTACTAGTAATTATTTCTCGTGTAACATACAACAATGTGACTTTTTTTTCAAATACTTTGATTAATCGATACTAAATAATATTTTAACTATAGACAAGTTCTATTTTTCGAGTTTTGAGTTTTCATTCTGTACCAGAAATGTTAGTATTACTTTAATTTTCGTAATATTAGATCAAACTTAACAACTGCAATTTTTTAGTATAAAAGACAAGATTTTCTTTCAAATACAGTAGATTAAAGCCAGTTCTATTTTGTTAACGTTGGTAAAGGAAGAGCGCTATAAAACCCATTAATGGTACAAGGGCAGTTTAGTTGCGGCTTCAGGGCATTTACTAGAAGGTAAGGTAGATTAGAGGTTATTTCGGTAAATTTGGAATCGTTGATCCTTTTTTTAGACTCTATTAAGGCAACCGAACTTTGTTTAACAATTAAAGAGATCAGGCAAGAATTTAGACTAAAGTCGGTTTTTTATTTTATTATTGGATTAACAGAATTTTTTACATGACTAGGTAGGAATGAACTACTTCGAAAATTTTTTAAGGATCTTTGATATTTAATCATGTAGTCAGACCTCACTAAATGCAATGTGACGGGAATATATGTAAAAATTTAGTCAAACGTGCACGTAGAGAGGTAAAAATCTATATATGTAATATTAGTTGGGCCCGAAAGAAGCGTGTATTCAGAGAGGTGTTTCATAGGACGTGCACTTGGGGTAGCATTTAGGGGGTAAAATATTGAATTCTAGATAGACAACAAGATCTATACGAAAGTTTTTTTTTTTTTTTTTTTTTTTTTTTCACGAATGGATGCCCTCGGGCACTTCTATACGAAAGTTTAATAAAGGAAGTTATATGTACTTTAATGAATATATTTTTTTATTTGTATAAAAATTATCTAATACAGTACAATATTATTTTTGAACATTCTTGTGCCGGTTATTTCTCCAATACAGTTTAACTCTTTCTTCTGTCCAGCCTGAAGAAGCAGTTTGAAGTTCTGTCAATACTTTCAAGAATTCGGTTTCAGACACACTATTCTCGAAGGCAAATAATGATGCAAGTATATTTTTTTCTGTTTCTGTGGTAGTGCGGTGTGACCATTTTAAAGGGTTGGTCACAAAAGATGTCGATGTCTTTTGTGATACTGAAGTATTTTGTTGAACAAACGGTTCTTGATTAGGATTATTTATTCGACCTTTTTTTTGTTTTTTTATATTCTCAATTTGAGCATAGGAATAATAATTTACATTTCGTATATGACACCCAGAAGTTCAGAGCACAGTTTTATACACATCCTGCGCAAGTATTTCTTCAAAGCGTGATTTTCCAGTTTCATAGAAAGAAAGAATATTTTTAATACCCTCTTCGCTAATTTTTGATGCATCTTCAAACAGATAGTGTGCTGTAGGATTCAGATGGTTAAAGGCGGATGACAACTTTGCAACTAGTGACCAAAGTGAATCTTTACGTGACTTTATCACATGAAAATTTTGACTCATTACAACATTGTCAACATATTCAGCGAGAAGTATTGATAGACGATTTTTCTCGCTTTGGGCTGCCTTGATTTTCAACATCATGGTCTGCTGGTCAGTGATATTACCAGTAATATTTTGCTTGACGAATTTTACATCATAAGTTTCAAGTACTTCATCAAAGGCAAAGTAATGTTCTTCGTTTGTAAGGTTTACCGAACACACTATCTGTAATAATTTCTGTAGCTGTAAATCATTATAAACCTGAGCTAAAAAGTGTGCTACAGAACTTGTGTACCTAAACTTCCTGGCTGCAAAGAAGAGGAATGTAAATGCAGCTAAATTTGCTATTTGTATTTCGTAATTTCCTCTTCTAATTCTAATTTTATGGCTTATAAAATATCCCGTCTAACAAAAGAAGAGATACCACACCTTTATTAAGTAATTATTACTATTTAAAATATTATTCATCGTTTTTTCTTCTTTTTTAACATGTTGATACAATGCAATCCCAACTGCAACCCAGATTAATTCTAAAACACGACATGTTGCTCAGTAATCTACTATATGTTCAAATTTGTCTAGATATCGTACTCCGAGAGTTGCCGCGAGATTAAATATTCCATATCCAGAAAATATTGTAATTAGAGTGCAGCACATATCTTTGGACGTGTGCTACTGTCCCAAAAGAAGTCATACATCATTATGAGTTTCTTTATAAGAGATTAATCTCCTAATAATTGCTTGGTCACATGCAATATATAGGCGCTCATCACAACCACAGAGTAAATTATTGTGATACATTTCACATGCTGCATGAACTTATCGTTGCAAAAGGGAGGATCGCCAGGTTCCAATATCACAATTTTTGGTAGTAGAAGATTGCAACCTATGGGTATTTGGTTTGTAATTTCATAATGTACATCTTCCATTTCAAAGTCATTCTTATGATTCTCTAGCATACTATTTAAAATAGTTTCATACATCATTAAAATATGTTAGTAATTAAAGACTCTCCAAACAATAGTTGAGTAGCAAATTTATAGTTATTAGTTAGATAATCAAGTGAAGTAGGAAGAGTAAACTGGAATACCATTCGTAATATTGTATGTGAAGTTTGTCGCGTAATATCAAAAATATTGCCATAAGAAAATGTCGAAGCTTTAAAGTCAATATTATCTATTACTACCAGATTCTATATGTTTGGCCCTTCAATTAAGTTATTCCTAGGGTCTATTTGCTGTATCCTTAATTTTTTAAGATGATTTTCATACTGTTTAGTATATGAAATAACACATGCTGAATAAAGAATCTCTCGTAGGTGTGGTAGTAATTTTGGGTTTTGGTATATTGATGATATGATTGTTGAAAGCCAGACTTTTATTCCAGAAAAAGCAATGGTAAGTAGCATTGAGGTTAGTAAAGTGGTAGTTTTTGATATTTGGTTTATATCATGCGATTTTAAAAGAAGTCCACGTTCAAGCCTTTTACTATTAACTATTTTTTGTTTATGCTGTTGTAGTACTATGAGAAGGGCTTGAAAGAAGCTACGAATAATAATAGGCAATGCTTCGAAATAGTTATTATATGAGCTTGGGTTTTCTAATTGATTTAAATTATTTTTAATTTCAGGACGTGAGTATAAAATTTCTTTTCCTACTTTTTCTCCCATCACCGAGGCCTTTTTCAGAGTTAAATAAGGTTTTTCTATAGTTAACCTATTCAATTCAACTTTTTTTATTTTCATTACCGTTTTAATAAGCAACTTACTTAGAAGTTTTGATGCATCCAAATTTGATATATCCGAATTTAATGCATTTGAATTTGATGTATCTGAATTTGATGTATCCGAATTGGATGTTTCTGAATTTGATGCATCTGGTATTGATGTATTTGAAATTGATGCTGACAATGATGCATCCGAAGTTAATGCATCCAATTTTGATGTATTCGATTTTGATGCATCTGATCTTGAATTTTTATTTATTGTTTCATCATTAATAATATTTAACACTAGGAATATTTGGGATAAAAGTCTTTCTTGTAGTTTATGATCATCCGACTCAGCTACTGATATTATCCATTTTCCGATAAGCCTTAGAGCATCACTTATATCATTACGATATTTTTCATGCTTAATGCACGATATAGCATCTTTGCCTTTACCAGGTCTTTCATATAGATGCCCACTGTTTTGTTGAAAGTATTCTGAGCAGATATAATGTGCATGATAACTGGAGGATGACTTTTTTGCAATATATCCCTCAGAAAATGCTGGACAGTCAAAAACACCAATGCAAGGTGCTTGAATATTTCTTCCATTGACATTCCACGAATGTTTTGTACAACCATTACTATGGCTAAAGAAGCATTTTTTCTTATTACAGAAAAGACAAATTCGGAAATGAATGATGCTTTTGTCAATCGAATGTAATTGTTTCATGCCTAGATCATAAAGTTGGTTCTGATCAAATTGAAAATAAGTAGAGCATACACTAAGTCAGGAAAAATCATAACCATTTCCAATTGCTTGTCGCAATCAGCGTAGTTTTGTTATGCTATTGCAGCACTTTTCAACTACTTGTGCATCTATTTCCTATGTCCCTATTATTTGTTGCAATCTCTGTAGGTTTGTTGTGCTATTGTAGCACTTTATCTCGCCTTGAATATTGTCTATAATTACACATGATGCTAAATTCAGAATTCGCATAGAATTCTCTTCAATTTCTACATCTATTTCATCATCTATTCTTGAGAAGTTTTCATTATAGGGATCAGAATTTTCAGGTTCAATCTCATCCAAGTCAATGTCTTCACTTTTGTCATCATGTAATAAGGCTTGTGTGCTTTCAAGAAACATTGGATCAATAATAAAAGCATCTTCATATTCTTCTTCTGAGCTATCAAATTCCTCCATGTAGGTAGATTCAAAATCAGTCATTTTGTTTAGTATACTGATTTTATAAAAATTTAATTGTAAAGCAATTAATATAATTTATTCAATAGTTTCGTGGATTAAACAATACCACTACTATTAGACTGTTTTTTACAAGAAATAAAGTTGAGAATATTGCAAGATTTATGTTTTAACAGGAGCTGATGTCCCAAACAGCAAGACTATTTATACCTTTTTTTTCACAAATTTTGATATTACCACACACATTTACATTTTTAGTTTATACAATAGGCAAATTATGTAATTCAATAACAATTTAACTAGTCTTTTGAGTTATTTTTCTAACTTTGAAACATTTTGCTAAAACAAAATAGGTCATACAAGAGCGAAACATTTCTGAAATGTGTCTCTAGAACAAAATATGTTCATTCAGGCAAAAGCTTTACAAAACATCATAATGATTGCGCAATACTTATTTCATCAATTGTATTATTTTGAGTATATGCATATTATTTCGGGTACGTATATGTGTGCTATTTTGAGACAAAGGTTAATTTTCTGTCATAGTGAAACATTTATGTAATTTGCTAATTTATCAAAGAATCCACAACATTAAAGAATTCAATATAACCTTATATAATCTTATACAGAGTGCATATTATTTAATACATCCATGGCAGTGTTGTACATGGGACAAAGTTGAGACAGATTCGGGACAAATTTGAGTTTTTTAAAAAAAAAGTTCTTTTATTTTTACATATATTTGTATTATCTTTTAATACAGTTTAGGTTAAAAAGTTGAAGCATTGATAGAACAAAGTTGGGATGGGACGAAACAAGGCAAAAAAGACCAGGACAGTCAAAATATACAACACTGCTTATAAGTATTATTTCAAAACCACGCATACTACTGTAAGAGTGCACTACTTTCTTAATAATTCCCATGCTCGTTATTTTGTGAAAATATAATCTTTATTTAATTCAAAATAATAAATTCAAGTAAAGAAATAAAATGAATATCTTTGTGTATTTGAGGGTTTTATTTAATGTAATAAATATTCTTTACATCAATATATCCTAGTATAAACTAAATAAAAATAGACATTTAAAATAACAAGGAAATACGAACTACACAATGAAAATGTAAACTACACAACGAAATACAGACAACCCTCCATAGATGCACATACCATATATACCCTCACTAAATGCATGATGACTCAATTCCAAACTTGTAAATTCTTAATAAAACACCCTTCATAAATGCACGCTTCTTTAAATGCGCATTTTTGAAAATTTTGCTCATAATCCCAAGGAGGTGCATTTATGAAGGGTTGAGTGTGTAAACTACACATGTACAAAATACAAACTACACTAGTCCGATTCTACCTCAGATCTATTTGTTTTTCTATTCAAGTAACAAAAAAAAAAAAGACAGATCAGTATAATCAAATGCAGTAGGAGTGTAGTAAGTAAAACACATTGCAATAGCATAGGTATAAAACAGGCGCCTCTTATCTGTAAAGTTTAAATCTCTAACCAACTAAATATCCTGTAGCGTTGGTAAAGTGTATAAACTACACATGTACAAAGTACAAACTACACAAGTCCGATTCTCAGATCTATTTGTTTGCGAACTATTTTCTATTCAAGTAACAAAAAAAAAAAAAAAGACTAATCAGTATAATCAAACGCAGTAGTAGTGTAGTAAGTAAAACACATTGCAATAGCATAGGTATAAAACAGGCGCCTCTTATCTGTAAAGTTAAATCTCTAACCAACTAAATATCCTGTAGCATTGGTAAAGTGGGTTGTCAGCGAATCTAGTTTTTAGTGAACTGGGTTGCTGAAAAATCGTGTAATTAGGGAAAGGGGACGGTGTTGAAGAAATTAAGGTGTCAAGGAGGTTGTTGTAAAATCGATCAGAACTGTATGGATTACAGGGGTTAGTATACTACAGATTTGAGCGAAGATTTTCTTCGAACTAGAAAGTATTAAGAACTGAAACTTTGCAATTTAATAGAACAATATTCAAACTATGTTTGACTTAATTAGTGATAGCCGAACGGTTTCACGAATTTGGGGTCGTCATAAGACAAACCTTTTGCGAGGGTGGAATTTCTATATAAAAATCGGATGATCGACATCTAATTTATCATATGAACAACATTTGGAACCCCTGTAAACGGACATGTCCAGTGACTGTTAATAGCTTAATTGATGATTTTTTTAGGATAAATTTGCTATCTCTTCTTATCAACGTGCCCAAGCAGAATTTGCGAGTGGGCAACATAATGCAAACTATATAGTGATGAAATTTTATTAATCACATTCTTTAAAGCAGCATAGGCTTAATTATAATATTCTTGCAAACATTTAACGTAATTCATATATTACTTGTTACGTTTTACCGGTAATTTAAATAATTGGGAATATAATTATATAATTATTTAATTATTTAATAGCAAATATTTATTTTGAAAGTAATAAATTTCTTTAAATTCGTTTAAAAAAATAAATTAAATACCAAATTTATTTATAAATTTTAATATTTTAAATTTAAATTGTCAGATTTAACATCAGCTAGCACTTTCCCTGCAATTAGTTAAGGTAGTATTTTTGCATAGAGCATCAGTCAGCGCTTTTTCTGCTGATTCACCTAGATAATTACGACTTAAATCTAAATTAATTAAGGTAGTATTTTTGCATAAAGCATCAGCCAGCGCTTTTCCTGCTAATTCACCTAGACCAGTATTGCTTAAATCTAAATTAGTTAAGGTAGTGTTTTTACATATAGCATCGGCCAGCGCTTTTCCTGCAAATTCACCTAGACCATTATTCCTTAAATTTAAATTTGTCAAGGTAGTATTTTTGCATAAAGCGTCGGCCAGCGCTTTTCCTGCCGATTCACCCAGATCATTACACATTAAATTTAAATTAGTCAAGGTAGTGTTTTTACATATAGCACCGGCCAGCGCTTTTCCCACTGATTCACCTAAATTATTCCATTCCAAATTTAAATCAGTCAAGGTGGTATTTTTGCATAGAGCATCGGCCAGCGTTTTTACTGCTAATTCACCTAGACCAGTAAAGCTTAAATTTAAATTAGTCAAGGTAGTATTTTTGCATAGAGCATCGGCCAGCGCTTTTCCTGCCGATTCACCCAGTTTATTATAGCTTAAATCTAAATTAGTTAAGGTAGTATTTTTGCATAAAGTATCGGCCAGCGCTTTTCCTGTCGATTCACCCAATTTATTATCCCTTAAATTTAAATTAGTCAGGGCGGTATTTTTGCATAGAGCATCGGCCAGCGCTTTTCCTGTCGATTCACCCAATTTATTATCCCTTAAATTTAAATTAGTTAAGGTAGTATTTTTGCATAAAGCATCGGCCAGCATTTTTCCCGCTGATTCGCCCAGTTTATTATAGCTTAAATTTAAATTAATCAAGGTAGTATTTATACATAAAGCGTCAGCTAGTGCTTTTCCTGCTTCAGAACCTAATATATTATTATTTAAATTCAACTGTGTAAGGGTGTTATTCTTATGC